AAAAAAAAAAAAAAAAAAAAAAAAAAGGAAAGTTTATTTTGGTGAGGTTGAGGATGCGTGCCCGAGACACAGCCTCTGGAGGTCCTGATGACATGTGCCCAAGATGGTGTGAAAGGAAAATATCCTGGGCCCCCAAAATCACTAAGCGGAAAGGAAAACTCAAGCTGGAAACTGCATAGGGCAAACCCGCCTCCCGTTCAATTCAAAGTGATCCCTCTGTTCACCGAGGTAAATGCGTATCTAATCGCCTTCTTTGGAAAGGCTAATCAGAAACTCAAAAGAATGCCGCCGTTTGTCTCTCACCTATCTGTGATCTGGAAGTCCCCTCCTTGCTTTTCTGGCCTTTGCATAAGTTGACCAGCCTTTCCAGACCAAACCAATGTATATTTTACATATGTTGATGTTTCATATCTTTCTAAAATGTATAAAATCCAGCCGTGCCCTGATCACCTTCAGCACACGACGTCAGGACTTCCCGAGGCTGTGTCACAGGCATGTCCTCAACCTTGGCAAAATAAGCTTTCTAAATTAACTGAGAACTGTCTCAAATTTTTAGGGTTCACAGTGTTCAGAGTAGTTTAGGGATTCACGAGACATCGATCAACATATGTAAGATGAATATTGGTTTGGTCTGGAAAGGCGGGACAACTTTAAGTGGGGAGCTTCCGGGTCATAGGTAGATAGACAAATGGTTGCATTCTTTTGAGTTGCTGATTAGCCTCTCAAAAGGAGGCAATCAGACGTGCATTTATCTCAGTGTGCAAAGGGGTAACTTTGAATAGAAGGAGAGGCAGGTTTGCGGCAAGCAATTCTCAGCTTGATTTCCCCTGCACTTAGTGATTTTGGGGCCCCAAGATTTATTTTCCTTTCACAGGATGAAGGAATGAACCACTCACTGCTGCTGGATTCCTGATGGGCTCGCAGGCTTGGGTTGAGGTTTCTGCAGGAGGTGGTCTCTCCCTCTGGTCGGGCTTAATTTCTCACCAATAAAGACAGAGGCTGGGAAATAGTCCACAGATTGACCCACTGGTAGAGGCAAGAGCAGCTTGTACTCAAATCACAGAATTTCTCAAACTCTCCCTCTATAAAGGCATTCCGAGACTAGTCTGAGTCACTCTAATTACTTACATTTAAGTAGGACAACCATCTCAGTGAAGTTCCAAGGCTTGAATTCAATGCAGAGACCAGATCCCTGATCACTAAGGGTTTGGTCTTTGTCTTCAGAACTGGGGGTCAGGGAAGGACTGGACATATCAGAAACTTCTCTTTGAGAAGACGTCTGAACACCAAAGCAAAAACCCATAATTTTAATTAAGACTTGGAGGACCGCAAGGATTACCTTTGATTCTGAAATAAATTCTAGTCCTCTCAGGGGCCTCCAAAGGGTTAATGCTTCAGGAACAAAGTTGTAATCGCTAAACTATGCATACTGAAGAGATTATAGCCCTAAGGTTAATGAAATGTTGATAACCAGGAAATTAATACAAGTTTGAAACTCCTACTGCAAACCACTGAGGTGACACACTAGGAAAAGCCCATGAAACAACTCCAGCCAAGTCAGTTTACACATGCCTTTGTCCTGAGCAGCAGGACAGCCAATCTTAGTTTACTTTCAAAGTAAGAGGACTCACTGTTAGTAAATAACTGTTTGAAAGTTACTCACTTTCAAATTAAGAGGCCTCACTGCTCAAAGTATTTACATTTTCAGACATTTTAGGACTTAGTTTAGAGAAATTAGGCCACTGTGCTGCTTCTTCAATAAAACAATGAGTTTTTTCTTTCCCCTAATCAGATTGGGAAACTTTCAAGATTGGTAGCATGGAGTGTGCATGAGCATTTCAGGAAACAGGTGCAAATATACTGTTTTGGTAGAAGTATACATTACTGAAGACAATTTGGCAACACTTACCGAAACTTAAAAACGGGCATCTAACTTTTGACCTGGCCACTCTACTTCTATCTTCAAAAAATACTCTCAAAGATGTCTGTATGCAGATATTTGATGCAGCACTGTTTGAATATCAAAAAAAGGAGGGTGGGGTGTGACAACTTAAGAAGCCCTTGGTAAGGAAACAATTAAATACATCGCAATATACCCAAAATGTTAAATAGCCTGTATCCTTTAAAAATAATCAACCTACAGATGTAGGTGTGGAAAAAACTCTAAAACATTTTAAAATGAAAAACAGTTGTCACAGAGTTTGGTGTGAGCGTCCCATCATTTCCTTTAGAGGGGTGAAGCTACTGCTTCCCTTCTCTCACTCCTTCCCTCAAAACAAACACACAACTCAGAACTAAGTTGTTTTAAAAAATGTATTATTTATAAATCAATTTTAAAACAAAATAATTATTTTTAAAAGTCACAAATACAGTTGTTGTATGAAGTCAGTTTGGCATCACGTACCTATTAAATATGTTGCAAACTCATCTCCTTTAGTGCTATTTTCCAAAGAGATGTGGTCTAAACCCTCTGAAGGCTTTATAATTTTGTATTTGTTAACAAGTGAACAAAACTGACAATAAATACTCCAACAATAATTTTTTAAAATACTAAGTGGTAAATGCTATTCTTAGTGGCAAAACAATCTATTACTTACACTACATGAAAATTCCACTAAAGTCAGTAAAAAGTTATACAAAAATACACATTTAAAATTCTGATTGTATTTTTTTTTTAAAAGATGGGGTCTCACTATGTTGCCCAGGCTGGAGTGCAGTGGCTATTCACAGGCACGATCCCACTACTGATCAGCATGGGAGTTTTGATCTGCTCTGTTTCTGACCTGGGCCAATTCACCTCTCCTTAGGCAACCTGGTGGTCCCCTGCTTCCAGGAGGTCACCATATTGATGCGGAACTTAGTGCGGACACCCGATCGGCATAGTGCACTACAGCCCAGAACTCCTGGGGTCAAGTGATCCTCCCACCTCAGCCTCCCGAGTAGCTGGGACTACAGGCACATGCCACCGTGCCCGGCTTTATTTTATTTATTTTTTTTTGAGACAGAGTCTCACTCTGTCACCCAGGCTGGAGTGCAGTGGCGCAATCTTGGCCCACTGCAGCCTCCACCTCCCCAGGTTCAAGCATTTCTCCTGTCTCAGCCTCCTGAGTAGCTGGGATCACAGACATGTGCCACTACACCTGGCTAATTTTTGTATTTTTAGTGGAGACAAGTTTCACCATGTTGGTCAGGCTGGTCTTGAACTCCTGATCTCATGATCTCCCGCCTCAGCCTCCCAAAGTACTGGGATTACAGGCGTGAGCCACTGCACCCAGCCATATTTTTCTTGAAGTAATAATAATACATACAAAAACTCAAAGGGTTAATAAAGAAGGAATTCAAAGTCCTAATAAGTCAACAAACAGATTTCATTATAAGCTGAACATAAAAGAGGCACCATTGTTTGCTTCTCTTTTCAAAAATTATCACAGCACTTTGTCAAATGAAAGTAGCATTCAGATCAATGGTTCTCAAATCCTTGTGTGCATAAACATCACGCAGGCTTGTATCACAGAGATTCCTGGACCCTGTTCCCAGAGTTTGAGCTCTCATTACTGAATCTGAGGAATCCCCATTTTGAACAAAATTCACAATGACTTTTTTTTTCTTCTGGAAACAGAGTCTCACTCTGTCACTAAGGCTGCAGAAGGGCAATCTCGGTTCACTGCAACCTCTGCCTCCTGAGTTAAAGTGATACTTGATTCTTGTGCCTCACCACCACACCCAGTTAACTTTTTATTTTTGGTAGAGAAGAGGTTTCACCATGTTGGCCAGGCTGGTCTCAAACTCCTGACCTCAAGTGATCTGCCTGCGTTGGCCTCCCAAAGTGCTGGGATTACAGGCACAAGGCACCGCGCCTAGCCAAGATCCGTAATGATTCTGATGAATGGAAATCTGATTCTGGCAGCTCCTTTATCTTAGTTTCCTCATTTGTAAGGTCATTCAATTGGACTGATCATCTCTGAAGTTACTGAAGCCTTAACAAGTCTATCACAACCCCAGATGTAAAATATATATATATGTATGTGTATATAATTTCAGCTGAGAAGTGAGTCTTCACACTGCATCTACTTTGTGCAAGTTACTGAGTTTCTGTCTTCACCATCTTCTGAAAAGTCTGCTTCTGTTGGTTCAGTTTCTGGGGACATATGAGTAGGGGAATTTTGAAATAGACACCAATGTTAATCTGGGGGACTATTTCTATCATGCAAACAGAGGAGCTTCTAGCAATCCTAAGAGGTGCTGCATCCACATGGTATGTGGTGAGACCCGTTTGCTTAGGAAATAACAGACACGTCCCCAAAACATTAAATAGGCTCCACATCCTACTGTGCAGCTCCTATCGGAGGACCTGGGAAACTCAATAGGAGGTCTTAACACTGGTTGAACTTGAAGAGTAAGAGCTGGATTTCCTGGAGTATTTCTTTGAGGTGAGGGATACTTGCATCTGCTTTACAGTGCGGACACTTCGGCAAAGGAGAGCGTTCTTTGTGTGATCCCTGAAATCTTGTGAAACAAAGTAATAGACAAAGGGGTCGATGCAGCTGTTGAGGGTGGAGAGGCAGAGGGCTACAATGTACAGGGCATAGACATGACTCTGGCCCCGGCTTTTAATCAGAAAATAATGCACCACGAGCAGAAGGTTACTAGGGGTGAAGCAGATCAGGTACATGGCCAGGACAGTGATAATGAGTTTGATGGCCCTCTTCCTTTTCTTCTCTGAGTTTTCATCCATGGCAGAAGATTGCAGCATTCTGATCATCAGCACGTAGGCAGAGGCTGTGAGGAAGGCTGGGAACAGAAAGACCCCAATGGCCAGAGAGAGGAAGTAATGGAACATGTCTCCTACCAACACCTGCTCAGGCAAAACATCATGACAGGTCGTGATGTTTAGGGCTGGAATGAAGATGGTCTGCTTCACAACATACAATGGGATGGTGACCAGCAGAATCAGCAGCCATATTGCCAGGGAGATGCCGATGGCAATGTTTGCCTTCTTCTTGGAGTGCCCCATGGGGTTCACAATGACCCAATACCTCTGCACACTGAGGCAGGTCATGAAGAGAATGGAGCAGTACATGTTGCCATAGAAAAAGCCAATGAGCACATTACAAAGAGCTTCCCCGTAAATCCAGTTGTTGCCATGTATGTGATAGGCAATCTTCAAGGGGAACCAGATGACGGAGAGGAGGTCAGCCAAGGCCAGATTGGCCATGTAAATTACAGCAGGGTGCTTCTTCTTAGTTCGGAAGAGAAAGACCCACAGGGCCATGCCATTACTTGGCAAACCCACCACAAAGACAATGGCGTAGACAATTGGAAGGAAGACGGTGGTCAGTTTTCCAGTGAGGACAGATGCAGAAAACTCATCCACAGAAAAGCCTGGTTCAACTGTAACTCCTTTTCCAGTGACATGGGATGTGCCATCAACCTTACCAATAAGACTTCTTCCTTTAGAGGATCTATTGCCTCCTGTACAAGAAAGGAAGACAAGGGTCATTACAAAAATAAATGTTTCAGCAGTAACGCTGGTTGTTCAAATGAAAGTACATTCATTCATTCGTCTTTTAATTTATGAGACAGGGTCTCACTGTTACCCAGGCTGGAGTGTAGTGGAGCAATCATAACGCACTGCAGCCTCAAACTTTTGGGCTTGAGTGATCCTCCTGGGCAGCCAGGCCACAGGCATGCACCACTATGCCTGGCTAATTTTTTACTTTTTGTAGAGACAGGATCTCGCTATGTTGCCCAGGCTGTTCTCAAACTCTTGGCCTTAAGATTCTCCTGCCTCGGCCGGGCGCGGGGTGCACACCTGTAATCCCAGCACTTTGGGAGGCTGAGGTGGGTGGATCATGAGGTCAAGAGATCAAGACGATCCTGGCCAACATGGTGAAACCCCATCTCTACTAAAAGTACAAAAATTAGCTGGGCATGGTGGTGTGCGCCTGTATTTCCAGCTACTCAGAAGGCTGAGGCAGGAGAATCGCTTGAACCCAGGAGGTGGAGATTGCAGTGAGCCGAGATCGTGCCACTGCACTTCAGCCTGGCGACAGAGCAAGACTCCATCTCAAAAAATAAAAAAGATTCTCTTGCCTCAGCCTCCCAAAGTGGTGAGATTACAAGTGTGAGCCATTGAGCCCAGCCTCAAATGAAAGTACTTTAGATGAAGACAGAAATATACTATTAGAGGATTATACAAAAAGCGTATAGGGCCTTTTCTTTATGTAATGAGATCATTAAGATTTATATTGTCTGGTTTAGTTTGGTTTTATGGGATTTTCTTCTTATAGTGAGTATCTTTATATCAGGGAGCTGTGGGGAGTTGTGGAATGCAAGTGGAACATTGATTTCTAGGAGTATAAAGAAGACTAACAATATTTCCATTTATTTTTACAAACTACCCACATTCATTAGTCCCTAGCTATTCTTTTAATTTTATTTATTTTTATTTTTTAGAGATGGGGTCTTGCTATGTTGACTAGGCTGATCTCGAACTCCTGGCCTCAAGTGATCCTCCCACCTCAGCCTCCCAAAGAGCTGCGATTACAGGCACGAGCGATCATGTCCAGCTCTCGCCATTCTTATCACATGTCCAACAACAGTCCTTTCATCTATCAATTAGTAAAAATCAGTTAGGCTGGGCGTGGTGGCTCATGCCTGTAATCCCAGCACTTTGGGAGGCTGAGGCGGGTGGATCACCTGAGGTCAGGAGTTTGAGACCAGCCTAACATGGTGAAACCCCACCTCTACTAAAAATACAAAATTAGCTGGGCGTGGTGGCACATGCCATAATCCCAGCTACTCAGGAGGCTGAGGCAGGAGAATCACTTGAGCCTGGGAGGCGGAGTTTGCACTGAGCTGAGATTGTGCCATTGCACTCCAGCCTGGGCAACAAGAGGGAAACTCTGTCTCAAAAACAAAACAAACAAAAATTAGCCAGGCATGGGTGCCTGTAATCGCAGCTACTCGGGAGGCTGAGGTGAGAGAATCGCTTGAACCCAGGAGGTGGATGTTCCAGTGATCCAAGATCACGTCACTGCCCTCCAGCCTGAGTGACAAGAGTGAGACTCCATCAAAAAAAAAAAAAAAAAAAAATCAGTTTAGGACTGCTCAGTAATTCCTTTCCAAATTCTCAAGTGTATAAAATAATGATCCTCATCCTGATACCAGTTTTCTAATTTCTCACTTGGCAATGGCCTTCTATCCCAGTCTAGCCCTGAGCCAGGATCCATCCTGGCCTATTCATCACACCCTATTCAGTGCTTGCCACAGGGAGATTCCCAGGACCACAAGGGACATTCCCTTTTTACCCACAAGGATAGCCTCAACAATAGGCAGGGATTCCCCATGCTCATATGCTGGCTTCCTGGAGAACTTCCCATGGAGCCAGCTGGCAGGAACACTGGCCTGGACAGGTGGCTGTACTGATGACAGATTTGTGTTATGGCTTTCAAGCAAGCAGCATGACAAGCTAATTTATTCTCCCTCTCTTATATTATAAAGTTGACCTTAAAAAACACAAACAAATGAATGGCATATCCCTACGTTCTGCCTGCAAGTATTCATGAACCTGCAGGAGTAAGTAAAGACAATTTAAGGATACCAAAGAATTTTCCTCTAATTCTGGGGAAAAGTAGACTTTCACCAAGCAGAGAAGACAGGGCAGTACTTACACTGCAGTATACCAGGGAGGACACTGAACCCACTCTTGTTATTCATAATGTTATGCTTGGTCATCATTTCTCCACTTCTAGCTTTACACTAATGTTCTGCAGAATTTTTCACATCTTAATGCTTCCCTGTTTGGGATGCTAGCCTGGGCAGAGTGCTGGAGGATGCAGAGATCAATACTTCATTTTTCACTTAGTGTAGTGGGTTGAAAGGTGGTACCCCCAAAAGAGAAGTTTATATCCTAATCCCCAGACTCTATGAACATTATTTAGCAAAAGGGTCTTTGCAGATAGAAATAAAGGTCCTGAGATAAGATCTCCCTGAATAATCTAGGTGGGCCCTAAATCTAAAGACAAGTGTCTATTTTAAGATAAAGGCAGAGGCCAGGTGTGGTAGCTCACGCCTGTAATCCCAGCACTTTGGGAAGCTGAGGTGGGCAGGTCACTTGAGGTCAGGAGTTAGAGACAAGCCTGGTCAACATGGTGAAACCCTGTTACTACTAAAAATACAAAAATTAGCCAGGCATGTTGGCACATGCCTGTAGTCCCAGCTACTCAGGAGGCTGAGGCAGAAAAATTGCTTGAACCTGCGAGGCAGAGTTTTCGAGGAGCCAAGATCATGCCACTGCACTCCAGCCTGGGTGACAGAGTGAGACTCCATCTCAAAAAAAAAAAAAAAAAAAAAAAAAAAAAAAAGAGAGAGAGAAAGGCAGAAAGAGATCTGCCACACGTAGAAAAGGAAAAGCCACAGGAGTGAGTCACATGAGAATGGAAGCAGAGATTGGAGTCATGTCAACGAACAGGTCAAGGAGAATGCCAAGAAATGCCAGCAGCCACTGCAAGTTGCAAAAGGCAAGGAATGGACTCTCCCTCAGAGCCTTTGGAGGGTATGTGGTCCCAGTTCCTTGATTTCAGAATTCTGGCCACCAGAACTGACAGAATAAATGCGTTGTTTTACATCAGCAGTTTATGGCAATTTGTTATGGTAGCCACAAGAAACTAATATGCCTAGCATAGTCCTATTTCTAATATTTCTATTTTTTTATAATTCTTCAAAAAATGTTTTTTTAAAAAAAAAATTCTACATATCACAGTGTTCTTCAAATATTTGACCATAACCCCTAAAAACCACAGTCTACGTAGTAATCCAGTTCCCAATACACATATCCATGGTGGAAAAAAAGGTTCACAAAATAATAATTATTCTTATTACATAGGGTGCACTGATATTTTCTATTGTATTCTATTATTATAAAAAGCCAGTTATGGCCAGGTGCAGTGGCTCATACTTGTAATCCCAGCATTTTGGAAGTCGGAGACAGGTGGATCACGAGGTCAGGAGATCGAGACCATCCTGGCCAACATGGTGAAATCCTGTCTCTATTAAAAATAGAAAAATTGGCCAGCCGCGGTGGCTCACGCCTGTAATCCTAGCACTTTGGGAGGCCGAGGTGGGTGGATCACCTGAGGTCAGGAGTTCAAGACCAGCCTGGCCATTATGGTGAAACCCCATCTTTTATTAAAAAAAAAAAAAAAAAGAAAAAGAAAAATTAGCTGGGTGTGGTGACAGACTCCTGTAATCTCAGCTACTCAGGAAGCTGAGGCACAAGAATTGCTTGAACCCGGGGGGTGGAGGATGCAGTGAGCCAAGATCATGCCATTCCACTCCAGCCTGGCAACAGAATGAGACTCCGTCAAAAAAGAAAAGAAAAGAAAAGAAAAAAAGCCAGTTATTACTCTTTAACATTGATTTCACAGGCCACTTAACTTTTCAAAGCTGCAGTGAGGATAGCAACCAATTTTGAAGCACCACAATCAGAGAGTGACAACGTATGTAACAATTAGAAAGTTACACACTGGAAATTAATTTGGTGTTGGATTCAGTGCTTGATTAGTGTTATAGACTGAGTAACTGGTGCAGTTATTGTGGAATTTATCCAACACCAAACTAATGGAAATGAAAGGGGCAAAGTGTTAACACCACAAATATAGATAGTAAAATTGAGACTCTGGGAACCGCTATAGGATAAATGACCTGTCTTTTACAAAATACAAATTAAATGGCAAAAAAATAAGAGAGAGGGCCATGCACAGTGGCTCATGCCTTCAATACCCAGCATTTTGGGAGGCCAAGGCAGGAGGATTGATTGAGACCAGGAGTTCAAGACCAGCCTAAGCAACATAGCAAGACCCCATCTTTAAAAAAAAAAAAAAGAAGAAAAAAGGAAAAAAAAAGGGGTGAAGGTGAAATTTATAGAGTAGAGGATTTAAAAGACGTATCAGTCATATAATGTGTGTACCTTGTTTGAATCCTGATTCAAACAAACCATAAAAATAACATTTTTTTTTTTGAGACGGAGTCTCACTCTGTCACCCAAACCGGAATGCAGTGGTGCAATGGTGGCTCACTGTAACTTCTGCCTCCCAGGTTCAAGTGATTTCCCCTGCCTTGGCTTCCCAAGTAGCTGGAATTACAGGCCCGCACCACCACACCTAGCTAATTTTTGTACTTCATGTAGAGATGGGGTTTCACCATGTTGGTCATGCTGGTCTCAAACTCCTGATCTCAAGTGATCTGCCCACCTCGGCCTCCCAAAGTGTTGGAATTACAGGCGTGAGCCACTGTACCCAGCCTAAAATAATATTTATAAGACAATTAGAAATTTGAACACAGAGCCAGGCATGGTTGTTCATGCCTATAATCCCAGTGCTTTGCAAGGCCAAGGTGAAAAACCTTCTTGAGGCCAAGGTTTGAGACCAGCCTGGCCAACATAGCAAGACCCTGTCTCTAAAAAAAATTAA